TGCACCACAACTACTGAGCCTGTGCTCTAGAGCCCACGGGCCACAACTACTGAGCCCGCGTGCCACAACTACTGAAGCCCACACGCCTAGAGCCCATGCTCCGCAATAAGAGAAGCTACCACAGTGAGAAACCCACGTGCCTGGAGCCCGTGCTCCACAATAAGAGAAGCCACCACAATGAGAAGCCCGCGAACCACAGTGAAGAGTAGCCCCCATTCGCCGCAACTAGAGAAAAGCCCGCACACAGCAACGAAGACCCAATGCGGCCAAAAAAAAAAAAGAAAGAAAGAAATTTACCTGAGGATTAATTTTTGTCCACAGAGCCCTAAATAATTAGGATAAATTGTCCTTTAAATAGGTTGTCTTTTGAGCATGGATATAAATAGCTATTGTACTGTGGCCAGAACAATAAAGAACTTTATTAGGAGTGTCTGCCTTAACCACGGTGAGATGTACCCTCCGTTGCTAACAGTATAGGAAGACTCGAGAAGCGGTTTTCTCTGAAAGCTTTCGCTCATTCAAGAAGTCGGCGACTTCCCCCCCTCCCCTTTTTCTCAGCTTTGTTTCTCTCTAGTTTTAGTTTTTATGTGTCATTGTTTTCCAGGATACAAATGAAAGGTTGTTATTTTATAGGAAGACGTAAGTAACAAATGGACTGCAAGCAGGAGTTTGAGTTTCCTGTTCTATTTTTTCATGGAGTTGGTTTTGTTTTTGCTGAAGTTGTAATTACTAGTCACTGAGGAAAGCAAATACAGGAAGAAAATGACAGAATCTTTTAAAATACAAAAATTATTTTATATCTGTGTACATGTGAAATGTCCAAATTTTACCAGCTTTCCCAAATTCACTGTTGAATAACTAAAAGTTTTTTAAAGTATACTTATTACACGTGAAGGACAGGGTGGGAAAAAACATCAGAAGACTACCCGAACACTTGAAATGCCTGTAGACGGGAGAGTTGTATTGACTTAAAAGGAACTGTGGAGCAATACTAATGAAAACACCCATTCTTTTTATGCCAATCTTTGTTAAGAACCCAGACATTACATTTCATTTTAGTGCTGTATCTTTTCTTTAAAAGTTTTTCATCTTGAAACAATCTTAACTGCTCTGAATATTTTATCACTATTAGCTAAGGATGAGTCTTGACAACTATCTTTTTTTAATTTAGTTTTTGTTTTCATCAGCTCTGTGTGTGCAGAGTCCAGAAGTTGTGCCCACATCACCCGGAGGAGCAGGGAACTGTTTCTTGTGATAACACACCTCATTGCTTGTATGATAATTAGCCTGACTGTGTGAAGGTTGTTGCTACCCAAGCCATGTGGTATATGCTTACTTAGTACCTTTCCTTTCCGATACTTGATTCTGCCTGGAGTTAATTGTCTCTTTTTGTTTGTTTGTTTGTTGCTTAGAAAACACATTCACCCCTAAAGTTTTCCCTGGTTGCGTTCAAATGCGTCCGGCATTCCATTGGTTTCATCTCTGGAGCTACGGCCCTGCTCCGACCTGGAGTCGGCCTGCTGCAGTCTCATTGTGGGGGGCCCCATACCGTCACCCGCGGGGTCCCTTCCTCCTTCCCGGCTCTGATGCCCTGTTCTCAGCTCTTAGCTCACCTATTGCCTTGGGTTAGTTCTAGGTTTTAATAGTTGTTCTAGTAGCTTCTTAGAAAGGGTCCCGGGGAGGTGCGGTTTCTGACTTCCATGTTCAGCAGTGTCTTCGTCCATGTGACCTGACACGTGACGGGGATACAGTTTTAGACCAGGTGTCATTTTTCCTTAGGAACTCGGAAGCGCTTCTTAGTTACTGTCTTGCAGTGTTGCTGTTGAGAAGCATGGATCTGCTCTGACTCCTGATCCAGGGTTGGCCCTGTTTTATAATTTCTAAAGGTTTTAGGATCTTCTCTTAGTCCCAAGCATTTGCATATTTCTCAGAGCCAGGCTTGGGTGTAGGTTATCATCCACTGTGCTGAGACGCAAGTCAGCCCTTGTAACTTAAGTCCATTAATTTGAGTTCCTTTTCTTGAATCATTCCTTTTGATTTCCTCTGTCCTGTTTTTCTCAGTTTTCTTGTTTTGGAACTCCTGCTGTCTGCCTGTTGGACCTCAGGACTGGTCCTCTGTTTTATTTTTTTCTTCGTCTATTTTCTTTCCCTTTGACTTTTTTGATCTGTCCTATGGAAGATTCCCTCATCTTCCATCTCTTGAAGTGAATTTTTCACTTCTGCTGTCCTGTTTTTAACAACAGAGACCTCTGTTCCCTGGCAATTCTTTTTTCATAGCATCCTGTTCTTGGCGATGCTTTCTGCTCTTAGTTCACTGAGAATATCGTTGATAGTTTTTAGTTTTAAAAGCGAGTTTTGAGTGCGTGGTCCATGCCACCTCCAGGCTGCCTTGTTCTTTGTGACTGCTTTGCCTGTCCTTGTATTCGACTTCAGAGCTCCTCAGAGGTCTGGTGGCAGGTCTGGTGGCACTGGGCTGCTTGCTCACGTGAGGGCTGTGGCCTGAGCAGTGGCAGGGCCTTTGCCTGAGCTGCTGCCTGTGTGAGTGAAGAAAACGCTGCTCCCCCTTCTCCAGAGGGTGCTGAGAGCTGAGACGGACAGTGGGTCAGAGGAGTTAGACTCCTGAGTGTGAAGAAATCCTCAGTACCCTTATGTACTCTGTGCATACCATGCTTTTTTTTTTTTTTTTTTTTTTTTTTGCTGTGGTGGGTT